TCCTTAAAAACTGACTACTCAGAAGAACACAAAGGTAGTTGGTCTTAGAGCATGGGTGGGTTAAGTGTATGTCCCACTGCAGGTAGAAGAAAGACAATCTAATTCAGGTTCGGAGGATTGAACTTTGAAAGGTAAATACAGTTTGTGATAGACAAACATTTCAGAAGAGAATATGATTGTGAACTAGGTCTATGAGGACACGGTAAAAGGATCGGATGGATGGGTGGCTGCGTCAGGTTTGACTTGTGGCTCAACCCATATCAGTTACTAGTTTACCCATAGGAAGAACACAGTTTTCTGTTTTTGTGGGGGTGGGAGGCGGAAAGATGGTGATCACAATATAGAGGAACATTTCTCAAGCAGTGGTTAATGGCCAGCTTTTGTTTTTTATCCTGTTTCCTCACACCTCTACTTTGCAAAATGCTATTACACCAATTATAAGAAAATGAGGTCAGTTTTTTGTAAGCCCTCTAGTGCTTTGTTTTTTTTTTTTTTGTTTTTTTTTTTAAAAAAAAAGCCTGGATATGTGTTTCCCATTTGTGGTCACTGCAGTAAAGTTGGGATTTTAAGAAATGGCTGGTGTTGAAGAAAATGTTGTTTTTGGAAAGTGGAATGTCCTTTATGAGGGAGCCAGAAGATTAATTGTATATGCAGACGATGGCTCTTTTGATGATGTTGTTCCTGTCCCTTGCTCTTTGGTTTGAGTGCTGCTCTTCAGTCAGATTAAGGACTAGTACAAGGGAAAGAGAAGCGATAGTATATTGTAGACACCACAGTTTGCCCAGGTGCTGTGGTGCTTGCCTGGCTGAACCAGCAGTTGTATGTGCTGGATATTGTAATGATTATGTTTGTTCATAAGCTGTAGAAAACAAGAAATAGGAAACATTATTCTACCTGAGGAGTGGCCAAAGGTAACCATGCACCAAAATCTGTGTTGACAAAAGTCATTTGTAAAGTAGATAAAGAATTATATTCTTGTAAATAATTTAAAGTATTTATTCTAGGGATGTGGATGATTCCAAAAAAAAGTTAATAATACAGTAATGTTGAAGTGGGGTGGATGTTAGGGGTATAATTGACCTAATTGTGATTGAGTGGGTACAAAGGCCTTCTAAGAGATGGGTCTTTGAATTAGGCCTCAGATAGAAGGCACATGAGAGTATGAAGAAATGAAATGGCCAAGGCCTTGAGGTGAGTTAGGGAACGGAGTGCATGTGGAATGGAGCCTCTGGGGCCCTGGGGAAATAAATACTAGTGGTGAGCCAACCTGGTGTATGGCAAGAAGGATGTGTTCGAGAGCAGAGACAGGCCAGGAGAGGAGATGCCCTGAGGACATGGTGTGCCTGCTCCTTACAGTTCTCAAAGAATAACAACAGAAAGTTGATAAATACCAACTTCTGGGTAAGAGCCCCGAGCCATACGGAATTATCGACATGGCATGATAAATAGCTACTGTAATATAATGGAAAATAGGTCCTAACATCTGTAGAAATCATTTTTCCCTCCCTTTGAGGTCCAGTTCCAGTTAGTTTTCCGTTCTTCAGGAAGTCCTGTGTTGAGAAAGACAGTGTGATGAAAGCACTCCCGTGGGGTCCTGCGGAGTCAGACGGGAGCAGCGAGTTCAGAAACTGCTTAACTGTCTGCATGAACCCCGTGCCTTACATTCTGCTTCTGCAGACGTATTTTATGCAGTCGACGCATGTGAAGTTGCATCTGCACAGTGTACTTTCTCTACAGTCACTTAAGAGTGACAGCTGTCCAGCCAGGGGAGTTTTTTGCAAACCAAGAACAGGAGACATGATGAACAAAATAGCCAGATAAAGACTGTTGTCCACTAGAGATGGACATTTACTCACCTTATAGTCAGTGTGTTAAAAATAGTGATCTTCAGTTAGTATTTCCAAGTATAACTTTACACCTTTCTTGAGTTTATACGTGGTTTGTAAGGGATGGTGTGTTCTGTTTTTGTGGCCATGTAAAGAAAGCTAGCAGAGAAAGTGCACTGAAGTCGTCCTTTGGTTAACTCACTTACAAGGCCTGTTAGGATAACAGCTGATAAAGAGCTGCGTGGGGACTGAAAGGAATACGCTAGATTTGGTCAGCTAGAATGTGTGAAGGTCACTGTCGACTCTGCATGGCTCTTGCTCATATCTGTTCCAAATGATGTGTCAAGATAAGTTTCTCTGTAAGATGACCAAACAGCTAACACATACATATTTGATTGTAAAATCACATAAGCCACATGTGGCCTGGCTTCATTGAGAAGATACACTCCTAGTTTTTAAACTTGAATTGACAACCAAGTGCCTTAAAATAGTTGAAGAATTACTAATGCAGGATTTTAGTTTCTCTTTGTTGTGTTTGTAATGTGTATGCACATGTGCTGGCCTATGTGTGCACATACATGGGGGAGCCCCAAGTTGCTGTCAGTGTTTCCCTCAGTCACTTTAACTCTTTTTTCTTTTTCTTTTTTCTTTTCTTTTCTTTTTTTTTTTTTTTTTTTTGAGATGTGGTTTCACTGAACCCAGAGCTTAGCATTTCAGCAGACTGACTGGCCAAAACTCTTGGGATCCACCTGTCTCCGCCCTCACTCTGAGTTCACAAGTTGTAGGTGCATGCATCCCAACAGGACCCACTTTTACATGGATGCTAGAGATCTGGACTACATTCCTAATGCTGCCAGCCAGTACCTTAGTTACCACACTGAGCCCAGCCCATTTACTTTTTTAAAGAAGCACTTAATTTTTGAGGGTGTTTTCTCCAGGTTTTGTATGCTGTGCCTTTGAAAATGTTAGGTATTGTGCAGAAGTATATGAATCATGAAAAGGAAGCAGAATTTTGAGTTTCAGTTTTGGTCATTTTGAGTTGGGTCTGGGCTTTGTAGTCCAGGCTTCCTTAGTACTCCTGGTAACCCTTCTACTCTACCTCCCAGATGCAGTGTTAACAGACATGTTGCCACCAGTAGAGTTTAGATACTGCTGCGGAGGGATGTGTTCTGACTAGTTACCAGTAAAAAGCACAGCCTCCATCTATGTCCTGCCTAGTGTCCATGCAGTGTAGAGATTCACCTGAGCCATCTCCAGATCACTGGAACCAGGAGTCATTACTAGGAGGAGGATGGGTTTTGAGTAGGTGGGTGTTGAAGGTGTGAAGTCGGTGCAAAGTGCAAGTTGACAGACACATCTAATACTGAAATAGGTCGCCACTTACGTGTGAGTTTTATCGCTGGCAGATTAAAAATGCCCTGTGTGAAAGTTAAAAGATGCATACTTATGTACAAATCAGTGGACAGTTTGCAGTGAAGAGATAGTTCTGAAGAGAGTGCTGAGGAAGCTGTGGGGTCTTGTTTTTAGTGCACTTGTGTAGTAGACTGGGCAGTTCACTCCCCTGCCCCCAGTTCCTAGAATTTTCTGATGTTGCTTATATGGTCAAAAAAGTGAGGAGTGCTCTTTTGCAGGTATGATTGAGTTGTCTTGAGAAGGAGACTTGAATCTCATTTATCTCTTGTGTGTCATCACATGTGTCCTTTTAAGAGTAAGATAGAGGGAGATTTTTCTTAACTTCATAACATAAATCAGAGAAGCTCAAGTAAGAACAGAGCAGAATGAGATTTCAAAATGTTTGTTTCCCCAGGCATGGGGGTGTACATCTTTAATCCTAGCACAGGTGGAGGCTAGCCTGGTGTACATAGCACATTCCAGGACAGCCAGAACTGCGTATTAGAGAGACCTTGTCTCAAAGGAAAGATTGATTGTGGTCAGAAGATGCACTCCGGAGGCACCTGAAGCCAGCAGTATTCAAGGGAGCCGAGCCCTGCTGCTGTGCTGAGTTCAGACTTTTAGGCTCCAGAATAAAGTTCTGCTTTGAGCTTCCTTTGTGATCATGGGCTTGGAATTGGGCAGAAACTGGAAGATGTTGAGGCACGTGACAGAAAATACATTGTTAAATACATAATTAAAACTGCAGGAATGTGGATTATTTTCAGGTGCTTCTTTAGCATTCAGAAGCACATTAAAACATGCTATTTGAATGTGTAGGGAAGATGATCCATAGCTAGCCA